CATGTCTAAGTGGGCCAAAAGCTAAATGGTGGTGCCTGAATAGTAAGATAGACAATATGGATCTTAAAGAAAAGCATAAGGAAAGAAAACAAACATATGAAAGAATACCACTGTTCAAAAGGAGCTGGAGAGCATATATAGCCCTAGTCCATGTGGCTGACAGGTTGCGGAGTCAGTTCAGCCTATACCGGACAGGTAGTGTCCCGATAGCCAGCGAGAGTGTTCATTAGTGGGCACCGCTTGGAGTTTGCCGCTTGATCTCATAATCTGGGCCATGCTGGTGCCCAGGGGGTTACGTGCTGGGTTCCTCTCAGGGTATCCTCCGCGTTGCAGCAGTGTCCTTTCTCCCAGCAGGTTAGGAACGGGGTGCTGTAGTGTGCGCCGGAATTTATGTCTTGGGCTCCACGTTGCCACATGGGGATCCCCCTGTGTTGCTATCTGTCAATGATTTGCCTGCGCCATGTGCGATGGTGACCCGGCGATAGTTGGGGCTTCTGTGCCATCTGTGGTGTCGATCGGGCGTCCTGGCGTTGGGCTGCTCGCTGACTATTTGGTTGTTGTCTCTGCCAAGTAAGGTCAGCACCGTGAAGTGGGGTAGGTTGAAGTAGCCTGCGCTCCAGCTGCTTCCAAAACCTGTCTATTAATCTTCACAAGATTAATAGACAGTGGGACTCTCAGTGCCCGTAATTTCTGCCATCTTGGATGGAGCTCTGTGCTCTCGCTTTGCCAATGAGGCGGCCTGTGTTGCTTCGGTCTGCCTTGGGTTGTCTCTGCTTGGTGGACCGGGATCTCCCCCACCGGTCCAGAGGTGGGGCAGCGGGGCTTGCTCGTAGTGCCTGTTTGCCGGTGCGTCTCTGGGACGGGAGAGCGGCCATCTCCCCCGCCCTGTGTGTGCTAGGCCGCACTGTCAGTCGCAGCATCGGCGGGTCATGCGCGGGTCTCTTACCCTTCCACCACTTGCCCTCTGTTGCAGGGAGCTTATGGGTATGTGGTATCGGTGTTTGTTTCGCTGGACACCGTCTCAGGTCACTTATATCGCCATAATCGAGCGAGAGCTCTTGAGACACACGTCTTGTCGCCATGATGGTTAGGCCCCGCCCCCTGCATATTTATTTTTAATAACATGATCTGATCACTTGATAAGTGATCTCAAAACTATCCTAATTAAATCATATGCAAACATAATTTTCAAATAAGAATTGTAGAGGGTTCCTAACGATTATATGGCCGTATTTATACTGCAAGCTAAAGATTAAATTTTTTCTTAGTTTGCATATTAATTTATTACAATAATGCCTACCTATTGCAACATTTTTTGTGATGACCTGTAGAGTTCATAAACAGGGCCGTCTTTAATATTGACTGGACCCTGGGCATAGCATTTGCTTTGGCCCCCTGGACCCTGTCCCACATACCCAGGCGTGCAATCATGACCTCCACCCCAACACAGTGGGTGACCTAAAGTAGAAAGGTCCAAGAACTTTCTTGGGCCTCCCTATCGTACGGGTGAATAAAAGGTAGATGCCCATCTGTCGTGCAACTTCAGAAATGCATTGACAGCTGGGGCTCTACCATTTACCCATGTTTGCAGGTTTGTATTTAGCACTAAGCAGTTTTTGTGTGTTTGAATGTAAACAGGTTTTTGTATGGAATATGTTTGTACGTGGTTTTGGCATAATTTTGGTGTGTAACACAGATGTCTGTTTGTACGTAATGTTGAAGTTTGAATGCAGGGGTGTATTTGTGTGTAGTGTTAGTGCCTTAAAGCTGAAATGTATGCACATATACACACACAGCGATATATACACACTGAAACACATGCAAACACAGAGATACACACTGGCACACATGTAGATATACAGACACATACACACACTGACACACAGATACACAACCTGACACACATACAAATACACAGACACACACATAGATACACCGAAACACACAAAGATAACATACAGATACAAACACACATTCTTCATACAGATACACACACATATATACACTCTAACACTAACATATATACTGGCACATATAGAGACAGACAAACTGACACACACATGCACACAGACATACTGTTGCACACTGACAGACATACTGACACACACACTGACAGACATACTGATACACACACACCCTGACATACACATTGACACACACTGACAGACATACTGACACACACACATACACTGACAGACATATTGACACACACTGACAGACATACTGACACACACACACTGACAGACAAACTGACACACACAGACATACTGACAAACACACTGACAGACATACTGACACACACACTGAAAGACATACTGACACACACACACCCTGACATACATATTGACACACACTGACAGACACACTGACACACACAAACACTAACAGACATACCGACACACACACATACACTGACAGACATATTGACACACACACTGACTGACATACTGACACACACAGATATACTGACACACACACTGACAGACATACTGACACACACACACATAGACGTACATACACATACACACACAATTTACACTTTTAAACCTACCCTCCAGTTTCCTACCTTGGAGACTGGCTTTCCTGCTGGTAACTGAAGGTGTTGGGAGTTGGGTTTGGTTCTCTCGGCCAGCCCCCATCCACTCTGCCTACTCTTCTCTTTATGAGAGGAAGTGACGAGCATCCATCAGTCCCTCCCAGCCGGCTGCCGAAAACCAAGGGACACGGTCGTGCTGTTAAAGGACTGGGCCCCTGCTGAAAGAAGCCCACCAGGTGAGCCTCCTTAGTGTGCGGGTTACCTGCCACGGGGGAGAAATGGTTAAGGCCAGCAGGGCCCACGATGCAGCTGCTTCGGGCCCTCCAGGAGTAACAGGGTCTAGGGCAGCTGCCCCATTTGCCCTGCGTTAAAGATGGCCTTGTTCATAAAGATTCCTGGGTAGGCCTTGACCAGAATTTCTCATTTCTCTGTGATGTCATCCTAGCAGCATAAATTTTGATGCAGGACTCTGCCAGGTCAGTATATTCATTGTTGTACATAATCCTGCCCTGTGCGTAATTCTGAAGGTTACCAGATAAAAGCAGGCACTTATTTCCTATGCACTTGCATGTTTTGGAGATGGGAAGTGCCATCGTTGAGCCCACCTATATAAACCCTATCCTGCCCATTAGTGGTTCTTGAAGAGATAGTACATTTTTTTTTGTTTTATATGTGATATGTTCTCTGTTATTGACCTTGGCTTGTACTCATTTTTGCTCCTCTCTGTATGCCTGACCTGGCATAGATTTCTAGCACTGCATACTTCTGGTTTACCTTGGTCTAGGCTTGCCTCTGACTGTGTTTCCTCTTACTTTTACAAAAGGTGTTTGTGTAAAACTCAGCCACTCTAAATCTTGGTAATTTGACTCTATCTTTTCTAAATATTAGTGGACCAATACTCAACATGTTGGACCTTAGATTTTATCCAGACAACCTTTTATCTCACCAGGGTTTTATCTACAACATATAATATTGTCTTGTCAAAAATACATATTTTTGAATAAATAGACAGACACAAAATTATTTTTTTAACTACATTCTGATAATTTGGTGAATACTCTAGATTAGTGGTTTTCAATGATTGTGCTGTGGAAAACTGATGCGCCTCAAGGCACCTCACATTATATCATGGACACAAGTTTATGGCAATGGATTTCAATCTGGTATTGGCTGTCTTTGCATTCGACCACGGCTGATATAAACTCTACTTAGACTACCTTCGACCACCTAAAGGTTTCTCCAAGTAATATACTTTTTACTGAAGTTTTAAACTTACAACTAACAATCACACAAGGGACAAAAAAGAGATACAATGCATAAGATATGATATACACAATATACATTTTTTAGGGATCATAGCAAGGATCACCATCATAGCTTTGTCATTTCTAACCCTACTCTTCTTAAAGAGGCAATAAAGGCATCTAGACCACACTTAAATTAAAGGGCTAAGGGGACAGGTCTATAATTCAGCACCCAAGGCAGCACACAGTGAGAGGCCATAACTGCACAAAAACCTTGTACAGTTGAGATGACATTAATATCTGTTTAATTTTGACAAGAAGGCCATACTCGGGATAACAAAAATACCCAAATAAATGTGTTATAACTCTTTGCTAATTTTGCTAGATGAGTCACAGAACTTCCATGTTTTGTAATAACTCATATTCTTCCGAACATAACATCTGAAACTATGTTTCTTGTAAATCCTTAGGTGCTGGAGAACAGAGCTGATAGCTATCGCAATCATTGGGTTGCAGCCAGTTTGTGCATTTGCTGCAACATTTCCCAAAAATTGTAAAGTACACTCTCTACTGAGTTATCCAATATTCAGATAAATCTGTATGTTGGACTACATGGAAGTCATGTAAATACTGCTTGGACCAGAAGATAATCAACATATTTTGGGCGATTGGCACGTGGCATTTGATAGCAGAAATAGGACAATGCCGTTCTTGTTAGAGAACGATTATGGAGACTTAGTAAAAATGTGTCAGATAGATTACAAAGTTTAATCTCTGAAATCAATAGGAACAAAGATGAGTGAAAAAGAGATGAAATGTCGGTATATACACAAAGCAGTGAATGTCTGCACAATACACAGAGCAGTATTTGTATTGGCATTATACACAGAATAGGGATATCTGCATCATAGACAAAAGAACTGTGTGTCAGTATTTATATGCAGAGAAATATGTTTTTCGGTATTATACATGGGGAATAACATATTAAACACAGACTTCACATACTTGCCAAGCATCTTGAATTATTTGGGACTGTCTTGACAGCAGAAGCTATATCCCACTGCCAAGTTCTGCCAGTGCCAGGCTTTTATTATAATTATTATTATCACCATTTACATAGCGCCAACAGATTCCTTAACGCTTTACAATATTATGAGAGGGGGGATTTAACTATAAATAGGACAATTACAAGAAAACTTACAGGAACGATAAGTTGAAGAGGACCCTGCTCAAACAAGTTTACATTCTGCAGGAGGTGGGGTGTAAAATACAATAGGACAGGAAATAGAAATCAAATAAGGTGGGAGTGAAGCAGAGCTGGAGGAGAGAGTAGAGTACTGCCCTTTAGGAGAGAGCAAGAGAAAGGTATGTAAGGTAGAGGTTACTCTGGGAGGCCATAAGCTTTCCTAAAGGCACTACTTAAATGATTGAAGACTAGGGGAGAGTCTTATGGCGGTAGGGAGACTATTCCATAGGAAGGGAGCCACCCGCAAAATGTTCTGCAAGCGCGAGTTGGCCGTACAGGTGCAAACAACGGACAGAAGATGGTCACGGGCAGAGCGGAAAGACCGAGAAGGGACATACCTATGGATCTGTGAGGAGATATAAGAGGGGCTAGAATTGTTCAGTGCTTTATAGGTGTGAATTAGTACTTTGAATTGACTCCTATAGGATACAGGAATCCAATGTAAGGACTGACAGAGGGGTGAGGTGTGAGACTGTAGTGGTACAATGCGGCTTTTGGGAAGACCAATCAGGAGAGGGTTACAATAATCCATGTGGGAAATTACTAGAGCATGGACAAGCTCCTTGGTAGCATCTTGCGTAACACAGTGGCGGATGCGGGCTATGCTTTAAAGATGGAATCTACAGGATTTGGCAAGATACTACATGTAAGGATCAAAGGTGAGGCCAGAATCAAGTATGATGCTAACACAGCGCGCTTGCAAGGTTGGACTCATGTGAATACCACTAACTTGAAGTGAGAGTGAAAGAGGAGGATAAGTATTAGGAGTAGGAAAGACAAGGAGCTCAGTTTTAGAGAGATTGAGTTTCAGAAAGCAGGAGGAGATTCAGTCAGTGATGGAAGAGAGGCAAGCAGTGACATGTTGCAGGACGGTAGGACAGAGGTCCACGAAGGAGAGAGATATCTGGGTGTCATCAGGATCGAGCAGGAAAGTGGTGGGGCGAGAGGAAAGGAGAAGTGCAGCCACCTCTTGTTCAGTAGTCGGGGAGAAAGTCTGAAGGGTAGGAAAGGCATGATCTTTGTGTGGTTGAGAAAAAGAACGGCAAGGAGGGGAGA